ATTTTTTTTGTAGGGGATCATCGGGGGAGCGAAGTCTTTTTGGGGGGGGTTGGGAAGGGGGGGCGTCGCCTCCCCCATTAAAAAAATCACGGGAGGTAGGTACGGGCGCAGGACGGGGAGGGGGCGCGGAGCCCCTCCCGCGCCTATGTCTCTGTGATTGGCAATTTTTACAATTATAATTTTACATTCAGTGTTTTCAGTTTGCAATTCAAATACTTTTTCATCAAGTTTTGTACCTCTTGAAAATAGGCAAAATGGAGAGTGCGAAAAAATCCTTAACTACGACTGCCTGTGCGGAAACAGTGGTTTATGGACAAAATACAAGAAAGTTTCGTTTCACCTTTTGCATTCGGTGTTGTCTCAACAACTCGGTGCGCTCTTAGATCCCTGGGAAAGATTTCCAGGGAAGCTCTTCCACCACGGCAAGGTGGCGCACCACGGAAGAGGTTTTTTTGTTATTTTTTTGTTTTTTTTAAGTTTTTGTTTTGTTTTTTAAAGTTTTTTTTTAAATTTTTTTGTTATTTTTAATTTTTTTAATGTGTTTAATGTGTGTTAATATAATGTGGTTAATGTTTTTTATATAGAGTACAATGTGTTTTATAGTTATTATAATGATATAATGTAAGTAATATAATCTTAGTAATAATATAATGTTAGTAAGTAAGAAGTGTTATAATGTAGTTAGTAAGTAATAGTGTAAGTAATGTATTATAATGTAATAAGTGATATAATGTAGTTAGTAAGTAAGAAGTGTTTTTTGATTTTATTTAAATTTTTTTTTTAATTTTCAATTATTTTTATCTTTATTATTGTTTTATTTCCTCCTCTTCGTCGCTGCTTGTATCAAATGACACGTCGGAGACATCTTCATTATCTTGTTTTATTTCTTCGTCTATATCGTTTATATCGTTTATATCGTCTATATCGCTATTTAGCAAGACAGTTGTGTCGGACACAAATAATGTGTCCAAGTTTTCGTGATACTCGTTTACCGTCACTATTGTAAGATGCAAGCGATAATTGACCGATAGACGGCGCCAGCTGACGGCAGCCAGACGATCGAGTGCAGCGCCTCGATCATATCGATCCTGCGCGCACGCACTCCTGCTCCTTGTATTTTATAGAGTTAAATAAAATAACCGATAATATGTTCGAGAATGATCGAAGAAGTCGACTTGCGGGAGAACGGAGATCGAGTTCTCACTCTCTATCGCCGAACCAGTCGAAACAGTCGCACAAATCGAAATATATAGAGAGACAGTCAGGCCGATTTACTTGCATTTTTGAACTTAGCCGAAATCACAACTCTGTACATAAAAGTCGTTATTATATTGTTAATTCTTAAACTAAATTCAGTGTCGAATCATTTAAGTACCATCCTGCCGTCTTACCATTTCCATCGAAGTATCATCGCTAATAAGTTAAACAAAATAACCGGGGTCGCGTCTAGGACGTAACCGTCGCAATCGTTTGAATAATCTTTGAAATAAGAATATTCCTATTAAGAAGTCGATAATCGAAAGATTTTCGGAAGAGTCTTTCACTATGTTGTTTTCATGACATTCAATT